AATTTGGGTTGAGGAGAAGCTTAAAGTTTGTCATAAGTACAGACATAAATACACACTACAGAGGATCTTTATAGCCAAATGTATAAAGTTGTTTGATATCGTTAAAGAATATCAGACATGGGATTTCATTTTTACATTCAAAATTGTACAGTATGAAATACACATAGTTTACTTTTATACATAACCACTGACAAATTACTAAACATTATTACTCATCAAAGAAAGTTCCAGTACTCCTAGCATTGAAAGTAGTTTACAAGAACTGGCAACTCAACATTACTGAAGTACACATCAGTTTGACTTGTATGAGCTGTTTTTTCAAATCTTCAAAGGTTTCAATAGTACAATGAGAAAACATATTTCTAAATAATATTTTGTCTTAAATCAAATAAAACATCTACTACACAATCTTTTCTAGCCCAATATATTTTAGGAACTCAGTGCACTTTGCATGCTATGATGGCATTCAAGCATTTCATGTTTTAATTCTTTTTCGTACATGTTTGATCTACCTCCCAACAGAAACCATTGCTTGGTAACGAAGAAGAAATAAATGGTGATAACCATGATATATACCATCTTTCACCAAACACATTAATAAAATTTTGTTTCATGCCCATATCATACTTTGAAATATTTTGGTTTTTTTCATATCCTACTCGTCCACAAGCAACTAAACGTGCATGATATGTGAAAAGTATGACGACAAAAATAAACCCAGCAATTATAATCTGAAATATAAATACATAGAAAACTGTTATATCCAGCTGTCTTTGAAATATTAACATGGGCAGAGAGAATGCCGTTTTTAGCAACAGCTTTGAAAATTCCATTTGCCTTCCAAGAAAGCAGCAATTGTAGAATGTAGCATACACACAAGCAATCATCAAATAAAAGAGGAACATAAGAAACAAGCGATGATTGTAGTGACCAACACAATAGCCAGTAAAGAAGCAGTGATGATCTCGCTTTAGCATGCATAAATCACATTCTGCACAATGCCAGGATCGAGGAGGAACATGAATATTGCATTTATCACAATGTCTCCAATTAGGTTGGATGTCTTTGATGTTCAAATGTCTATTAACACTATTGTCTATCAAGACCAGACCCAAGTAAGATCCTAACACATTTATCATTAAAATATGTCCAATAATGAAATGCATCCAATAATGGAGAGACCACACTTCATATAATGCTGGAAGAACAACATAGAGTTCAAACCAATAAACTAATGGAATAACACACCAAATAAACACAAACGCACCCATGCTAATCGGTGCTCTAGGGAAAAAACGCCTCCTAATTTTCATTTCTGTGATGTGTTAAGCCACTTCTTAAACAAACTAATAGTTAATTTCGTAAATAGGACCGCAGCGCAGCACTCATCGACACCGCTCTTTTATCTCGTGGTTCACACCAGGTCCCAGAAAATACCTTTTTCACAGTTTATCCTTCAAAAATCAGCGGAGCATACATTTGCCAAGGAAACCAATATCCATTGGTTTTGTTTTTGTTTTACAAGTACGAAGTTTAAAGCTTTTGGATTAAAATTACGAGTTACATTTAAAAACAACGCAAAATGACGAATTGTCGCAACGAAACCTTCACTTGTTCTTTTTATCTGGATTAGCTGTGATTAGATTAAGAAGCAATTTAGATAAAGCTTAATTTCAATTTATTACTCAAACACAGCCTTGCATACCATAGTTTGGAACGTTTCTGTGATACCTAGTGACACCATTTACTACTAAACAGTAACCATGATTTTTTTTTATCTAGGGAACACGAAAGGCACACAATTTAAATTGCAAAACGTGAGCGAACGTGAGTAACCATGGTGGAAATATAGTAATAACTACCATGAGTGTAATTTTGTTATGATCATCACTAGTCTAACACAACTGGGCGGTTATAAATAGAAGCGATCAGTAGCCGTAGATACAATGGTCTTGATTGGACTAAAAAATACTTCAAACAGCAATTAGTCAATATAACATTTTTTCGAACTAATGTGAAATGGTTTAAAAAATGATACGACTTTAATCTCAGATCTCAACTTAAACTTATAACCCTCCATATATATATATATATATATATATATATATATATATATATATATATATATATATATATATATATATATATATCAAATTCTAGTTGCTAAATTAAGAAAAAATCCTCTAACACGAGGTGTAGCCAGAATCCCTGTTTTGTGGGTCCTTGACATCGAAAAACCACTTGACGGCAAAATGTCCGCCACCATTGGCGCCTAACCATTCGTACGATTTTTCCAACATGAATATTCCCCGGTTGATCTGGTTCCACTCAAGGCGCTGGGATTTTGAAAAAAGTCCTTCAAAATAATTTCTTCAATACTTTTTATGCAGCTCCCCAGACATTTTAAATATTTTCTCATAAACGGCTCCAAATTTGTTCTTTAAGTTTCTTTTAAGAATAGAGTAAAATACACGTATAAGAATGGCATAGGTCAGATTTCCACGGTTAACTATGAATTTTCGAAAACTGCAAAATTGTGAACTTTTTCAGCATCCTCCTGCAACAACAAAATTGAAAATAGAGATGTTCCCTTCAAATAAAATTTGTTATCCATTTGTTTTATCATTAAGGACATTTACATTTTTTGAAAATTTTAGCAGTTTTCGCGCAATATTGCATGCAATTTGAGCTATTTTGGAAAATAACAGGAAAAATTTTTGGAAAAATTTTGGAAAAATTTTCTAAAAAACGACTCCAATTTTTTTCTTTAAACTTTTAACATGAATAGTGCTAAATATACTCTTTGATATGACGTAAACGTTCTACTATTTGGAAGAAAAAAATAAAGAGGACAACGGACTTTGTCGGCGAAAGATGTAATCTGGCAAGAGTTTGTGGCAAGTCCGATTATATAGCTGAGACCAAAGGAAATCGAAAACTAATAGGGGAAAGTCTGTGGCATTCTATAGAACTACTAGTTTTCATTTATTTAATGTCAAAAAGTTAAAACTGTGTGACGTACTGTGGCGAAAAGTGTTTTCTGCTAACACAGCCTCCACTGAGTAGACGGGGTGTTGATTCAGGGCACGTTTTCTTGAGCTTATGCCCTGAACCATCTAAGCCGTTAATATTATAGTCAGCTTATAATAAATGAAATATGAAACACATTTAAAAAGCTGGACTGTGGTGTATGTGTGTGTGTGTGTGTGTGCGCGCGTATGTGTGTGAGAGAGAAGAGAAGAGAAGAGAAGAGAAGCGAGAGAGAGAGAGAGAGAGAGAGAGAGAGAGAGAGAGAGAGAGAGAGAGAGAGAGAGAGACAGGCAGAGAGAGAGAGAGAGAGAGAGAGACAGGCAGAGAGACAGTTCTAGCTTAACTCTTCAATGAGGGAACAATTTCATTTAAACAATATTTTGTATACTTTGTCACATTGTACATTACAAAAATATTTTATTTTTATGTAAAATTGCTATAAAAACTGTTTCCTGTGTATAAAATAAATACCAAATACAGTCTGACAAATGCCGGTCCGGATGGTCGAGAACGCTAAGGCAGTAGTGCCTTAGGAGTGCTAAGAAGTAGTGCCGTAGCGATCTCGAACCGAAGGATCGCGGGTTCGAGACCCGCCTCGGGCATGGGTGTATTGTGTTCGTCCTTTCACACCCCTATCATCATCATATCGTGTCATCTTCATAGTTACAATACCGTTTCAAGCAATAGTACATATTCGCCATTTACTTATATTTATTGTGGTGAATATCCGGCGTTGCCCGAGTCTTTATTTATCTCGATAATCTATTACACAACCCTGCTCGTCTCGTTCACTGGGCCCGCTCAGAGTGAATTACATGCGGTATGTGCATTATGGGTTGCATATTGATTTTGTTAGTTAATGTCGTTCCCTTACCACACCCGCATGTAGGGGTTTCTTACCCCCATGGTATTATTTTTCCAATTGTAAGTCCTTAATAATAATGCATACCAAGTTTTATTGAAATTAATTGATTTGATTGAATACATTGACAATAATTGAATGGATTGAAATAAAGAATCGAAAAATGATTGCCGCGTTGAAGAGTTAAGCTGGAACACGAACACACACACATATACACAACCATCTATTGTTTTTACTGTACTGTTTTTACTGTATTACTGTATTTATTGTTTTTTTGTGTAGGTATATTAATTTTGCCGTCAATAGTTATATTTGTGAGGCAATGGAGAACTAAATAATTAGATGTAATATTAATATTAATAATAATTATAATATATTAAATAATAATATAATATACTATTATTAAATAATAATAATAAGTTAATTATAATTTCATAAACATGAGAAACTTTTGTTCACATTTTGGGGAACTAAAAAAATTAGCGTTAATTTGAAAAGCTGTAGCGGTAAGTGGTTCCGAAAGAAATGTTTTATACACAAATTGTAGAAAGTTTTATCCTCTTTAAAATTGATTAGAATAATTTTCTTACAGAAAGGTTAAAGAGTTATAGAGGAAACCAGAAAAGTCAGGAAAAACAACAATAATAACAGTTTTTCGGGGGTCCCAGAGTTAGCCCAGGATCTGTGAGGTCGAAAACATGGGACCTAATCATGTGCCTGAGTACATACTACATACCGAAAGAAAAAAATATTTAACGACCTTTTTCCGGGAAAAAATGAACTTGCCGACTGGTCTAGTACTTGATATTGGATTGAAGTAGTTAATTATATTACGAAACGTCCCGCCAAGGAAGAAACCTTGGTCAATGTGCGCTACAGCCGAGAAGCTTGCATATAAATGCGTAGCTTCAAATTTTCTCGTATGACAAAGATAGTCAGGTAGAAAAAATCTTGATAACATTGTTTTAGCGTTTTTAATATTAAATTTCTTTCGAAGTTTCTTTGTACGAGTGTTATTCTAAAGCTTGTACAATAATCAAGAATGGATAGTAATATAGATTGCTGCGCCGATGTGCCCGTTGGTATGCCTGCTTAAAAGGCGACGCATCAGATATTTACTCTAAGCATCAGATCCACTACGAGACACACCAATGGATGACAGCTGTCATGTAGATTCTCAAGACCCGCAACATATGGCAGCAGATGTGTAATTGTCACTTTGGTTGCTAAGAGTACATTCCCGAAAAAGAGGTGTTAATTTGACAGTCATGTCATATTCAGCTCCGAAATTGGCTGTAAGAGACAGTTTTGACGACGAAGATGTGAGTGATGACGTTGAAGACGAAGTATTTATTCGAGATGGAAGAAACGGGTTTAAATTGGATGAAGAGAGAGGTGTCAAAAGACCTCTCATGGCACCCAGGAGAAAATTAAAATCAAGCCATTTTCACAACGATGGTTTCAAATCCTCCACTTGCAAAGTATTGTGTATTCCATGCTGTTATGGGTTTGTAGCACTGACAGCACTTTTGGGTAAGCAAATAAGAGATGAGCCAATTTCTGTGTTGATGGTTTGTATTGTAGTCGTTTCATTGGTATGTTTTGCAGGTTTATTGGCTGCTGTTGTGGTTTTGATAATGTGGTTTCCAATACCCTTTGATCAGATTGCTTTCTGGCGAGCAAAACCAATGCCAACTGTTATCGTTCCATGTTCAGAAATTAGTACAGATGATGTTTGGATACAGACCTTTCCAAAATTAACCTCAGAATCTGCTCTCCAAGTCAATGATGTCAATGGAGATGGTGTACTTGATATAATAATTGGATATGGTTCAGGTATTCAGATTTTGACTGTGTTGAATTGTGACATTCTTCCATTCTTACAAATGAGCATGTGTGAGAGCATGGTCTCACTTGAATGATGTTTGTATTATCTACTCATACATAATTGATACATATTGTGAGGCCATTGGCTACTCATTTATAAAATAAATTTAATGTGATGGTGAAGTGTTCAAATATAGTGAGAGTAAAAATTTTATAAACAAGGATTGGTAATGTATTCTTAATATTAATTCTACGTTTCTCTAATTGCCACAAGTTATTACTTACTTTTCCTCCCTTTATGTATAAAGTTGCGGAGATAAATCTGATTAGGCGTTTCATAGGCACATACTCGAGGAACTTTTATTTTTGCATTAACACAAGTAATTTGTGTTAAAAGTAATTTCAGTACCATGAAAGTTATTTAAAAAACAAATCGATTAGATTTGATATTACAAACATTTTATTTTTATCAAGAAGTAATGTGTAACACCTTTTGTTATGTGTCTGTTCTTTTTGATTAGTTCTATTGAAACTATATGTACTATCCAAATTATAATTTTGGAATTCATTGAGTCATACAAATACAGATGTTAGGTGAATTAAAGTGAATTCAGGATCGGTAACCCAAAAATTATGAAGAAAAATTGGATTCTTTTCGTGTATTTTGTGTGTTGCACATTTTATTTATTTTTAAATGTAAATCAACAAGGACACAATTTTTTATTTAATTTTGTTTATTCTTTGCAGAGTTTTGCCTTTCTTGTGAACAGCTTTTTTTGATATACGCTACTTTTGTTTTCTTTGTCTAGTAAGTATTGTATTTTGTTGCATGTTCAGCCTATTTGTGCTTGCTTACATGTGTTGTGTTTGATTTTTAAAAAAATTTATTTGATGATGATAGAGAATAAACACTTGTTCCTTGATCTTTCAGGAGCAGACAAACCTAAAGTCCCTGATATATTATGTACACTGTACTTTAAAGGAGTTACTCCTTGTGGAGGTGGTCTTCTAGCCCTGGATGGTCGTAATGGATCAATTCTTTGGCAGCATTGGTGTTCTCACACTGTGTATTGGGTTGACTGTGGGGCTGATCTCACAAAAGATGGAGTAAACGACTGTTTGATATCAGGCAGAGGCGGAGTAATTTTTTGACTTTATTTTTAATTCCTTGAGAAACTTGCCTTTTCTGATTTTAATATATGTAATATATCCTCATGCAAATAGAAACATCATTTCTATTATACTTAAAAATTTTATAGTATTCTTGAAGCAGCTCCATTGTGTTAAAACCATTCATTAATAAGTTGCCTTATCCTCAATTTTTCAGGTCCTAGAGGCAATAAATGGTCATGATGGTAGCAAAATATGGTTTTTGGACACTTCCGTCACAGCAGCGCCTGTAGGGGAAGATCATGGTTTAACTCTGAATACTTACGCAGGACGATTTGTGCAGGATCTGGATGGTGATGGTATTCAAGATATTCTTGCTGCTCATACTGAAGATAATGTTGCAAACGACTCAGGTTGGAATTTAACATGTGTTCAATTAATACAGGAGAAAAGAACTTGAGGATGCTTACTTTTTTGGAAATAAATCTAACTGAATATGAAAATGGTCACTTTGTGAATGAGTGGGGTGATGTAGAGACTTTCTTCTTGATTGAAAAGTTTTATGAATAATTGTTAAAACATATTTGAAAGTCAGGTTGTTGAATTTGATTACCATGGCATTTTTTTTTATTACATTGGGTAATTCATAGAATAGTAATTCACAAGAAGAGTTTTGTGATGAAATGCTTTAAATGCAGGTTCTTCCTTGTAGGTCATTTGCTTGTGGTGAGTGGGAACACTGGGCGACTTCTCCACCAAGTGTCTACTCCCCAAGGTGAAGAGAGCTTCTACCCTCCACAAATATTGGTGCGAGTTGATGGCCAACAAGTTGTTGTCTGGGGCACGGGTGGAATCCATTCCCCTGGAGGATTGTATGTTATTCCCTTATCCTCCATTGCAAGAGGACATACCTCGCAGGTGACCATATTTTTCAGTATGTTCATAAGTATTTCTCTTTACACGGTTCTCAAAGTTGGTTAAAACCACTCAAAAGATCTTTAAGATTGGTAATGGTGGCTGGAGATATACACAAATTGGAATGATATATATCAAGAAACAGATGTTAATAAAGCCTATACAAAATTTATTAATATCGTTTAAGAGACTATGCATAGGTCAAGAAGGAAAACTCAAGTTGTATGCAATTTTAAAAATAAACTGTGACTAGCATAGAAGATGCCTTGAAAATCTCTGATTTTATTGGTAATAATTGACCTTGTTTAATTGCAGTATTTTTGGATTTGGCTAAGGCCTTTGATACTGTCAATCATCAAATTCTTCATAACACTCTGTTGTTTTGGTAATAGAGGTGTCACTCTAAAATTTATAAAAAGTTATCTTATTTATAGGCAACACGGCTCGCTCATGGCTCAGAGCGAAGTTGCTTGCTTTTCACTAAGGAGGTCTGGGTTTGATTCCCATCGATCCCTGGTCAATCTTATGTGAAATTTGTTCCGACAAAACGAGTTTGGCTGCTTAGCAAGGGCTAGTCCTACCCAACTACTTTCCTAATTCATTCCCAATTCTGGCTGCTGGGTAGTGATGCAGAAGCATGTAAGAGAGAGGCACAAAGGCAGAGATGCTACCTGGTGGTCCTCTTGACAATTGACTGAGATGAGACTGGACAGTAGAACAATATAATATTAATGGATGGTTATGCTTCAACGGCTATATTTGGAGAGGTACATATGATGTAGCAACCAAGCCAATTCTACATAAACAAAATATATTTTTTAAGATATTTAGGATAAACCTCACACCTACTCATCAAAACTTTCAAAGATTCAGTAATCTTAAGTATAAGGAAATTCTAATGGAGAAAAACCTTCTAAATAATGATAGTCTTGAAACAAGAACATGACAAATTGTATGTGAATGATTGAAGAAGTAAAATAGAAGTCCCACCCATAGTTAATAAGGAAATTAGTCGAAGAAATCATATTTATATCAGTTACAGAGTTTTAAATAGCGTGAGTGATATGAAATGTTTAGACTTCATAAAACTCTCAAATAAAAATTATAGATGTAAGAAAAAGATTAGAAAATCATTGACTGATATGACAGAAGAGTTGTTTTGTTATTCAAACCCATTACATAATTTTCTTTAAGTTTCTCATTATGTTCATCTAAATGAGCTGGTTGTAAAAACTTGTTTTAGTTCTTAAGAAAAACAATTTTTATGTATATCATTGTAACTTGTGTGCATAATATTTTGTTAGTTGTGTGGGCAAGCTCCGGGCCTGCAGAATTGTTCATGCAATTTGTTACTATTATTTTTATCATGTAATAAATTTGAATTTTATAGTCTATAGTAATAACTCAATGAACAAAGAAGGAAAGAGAATAATGTGAATGAGAGAACGAACGAACATGCAGAGGGACGAATAAACAAACAAACGAACGAGTAACTGAACTAATGAATGAGGAAACGCGAGAGTCATGAACGATTGACTGAGTAAATGCATGAGAGAGTGGTGAATGTTTGAGCATTTGATGACTGAATGAGTAATGATGAATCAGTGATGAATTGATGAGTGAGTGGTGAGTGAACGATGAATGATTGAGCGATTAATGAATGAATGAGCAAGTGAGCGATGGATGGATGAATGAGCGAGTGGGCGATGGATGAGTTAGTAAATAAATAAATAAATGTGTAAATAAAAATAAATACATTTTTGGAAATTTCTTCAGCTCATCGAGGACAGTTCTGTCCTCTCTGAGGACACCTTTAACACTAACCACAAGTTCAAAATTAGTCAAATCAAATCTGGATTGGACTTTGTGAATACAGTGAAAGGATCTTTCAGAGCAGTAGAAAATAAATGTAATGACGGAGATGATGCAAAAATGAAATGTGTACCCACTGTTCATGAAACTTTGAAGAGTGTTAAGAGTGCACTAATATATTTAGTGCGTAGACAATGTATAATAAAGCTTGTAGAAAGCACAAAGATATTGAAATGAAAATTTGTGGGAATAGGATATTTAACTGTACATCTGCAATAATTAAACCAATCATAGTTGAAAAATTTTATTTATATTTTGGAACCATTGGGTAAATGAACCTCATGAATGATAAAATGAACCCAAAATGTTAGTTTCTGTTTAGGACACATGCTAACCAGTGGGACCCAAGTTCAAGCCCCATGAAAGGTGGGAAGTTTTACTGGTTTATGTGCTGTTTAGGGTGATCCTGGAGTTCACTCATCCTCCTGTCAAAATGAATTACCAATATTTAATGGCTTTATTAACAGTAAATACGAGGGTTGCCTTTTATATTTCAGGATTAGAGAACAAAAACAAATATTAATAATCGAAAATCACTTTATTGTTTTTTAAAATATTCCCCATGAATATTTATACACTTTTGCATGCATTTGAACCAATTGTCGAAGCACTTTAGCCACTCTGATTGAGGTATCTCCAAAACATGCATTCTGAATGCAGCAACCGCTTATTTAGGTGTCGGAATACGTTGACCCCTCTGTTTTTTACGTACGGGAATAAAAATAAGTCATTCGGTGCCAAGTCAGGACCATACGGCGGATGCCTCATTAAATCGATGTTTTGGGTGCTCAAAAATGTCGTTGTTTGAGCCGAGAGCTCGCATTGTCGTGATGAAGAGTGATCCGTCGTCGGCGGTTGGTTTTCCTGATTTCTTGGAAGACAGGTGGCAAATAATTCGTATTGTATCACTCAGAATTGACTGTTCTGCGTTGTTCTAGAGGTACGGTTGCGACATGTCCAGTTTTTTCGAAGAAAAAAAAAACAACAAAAAAGAAAACAGGCTGGAAGCAATACTGTTTGAACAGTGCTTCATGCGCGGACAACTTTTTATTGGATTTGCTCATCTTGAAACACCCATAATCAGACTGCTGTGCTGTTTACTTTCGGGCTCATACGCGTAAATAAATCCACGATTCATCACCTGTCGATGTCATAGACGTGTTTTCGAAGCACCGCCGATCTGTATTTTTGAGCATTTCTTTCGACCAATTCGACACGAGCCTTTTTTGGAGCAATTGACAAATTGTGTGGGATCCAACGCGAACAATTTTTTTTAATAGTCAAATGTCATCACAATATTGATGTTTGCTGGTCCTACTAATGCTAAGGTTGTCTCAATCTCACGATATGGTCACATGACGATCTTGCAATATCAGTTCACGCACAATATCAATGGTTTTCGGAACGACTGATTTTGAACGATCTTCGACGAAATTCGTCTTGGAGTGAACATACGACCACGATTGAATTCACCATACATCGATAAACACTGGCCTTATGGAGCTTCATCGCCAAAAACTGAATTAAGTTCATCGTGCACTGTTGCTGAGTTAATTCCATCGTCGAAAAGTTGTAAAAAATAATCGCACGAAAATGTTCACGATTTAATTCCATTTTTGGGCCAAGATGAATATTTTAAGTTACTATAACAACACAAATAGCGCTCGTATGTCAAAAGAGTTGTTGAAGTGTTCCGAGTACGTATAACCTCAAAACATCCAACTTGTGATAGAGCTGTCAGTTGCCAGATTGCAACACCAGGGTAGCCAAATTCCGAAACATAAAAGGCAACCTTCGTATTAGGGAAAATGCACACATGAAGCATGGTGCCTGCCATGCCATATAGAGAGCCCTGGAAGTGGGGGAGCAAATGCCAAAAAGACTAATAAAGACAGGAGTTTTCACCCCCCTTGTAATTGTAAGCAGGTATCCTGTGGCTCAAAGGGTTTTGAAAAAATTGTTAGTTTCTAGAAGTTAATTTTACCAGACCTAACAAAATAATTTTTATTGACCTTTGTCGTTTTGTAATATCCTATGTCTGAAGAAGTTTTTTACCATGAATTTATGGTTTCTGAAATTTGGTTCCTAATTATTAATGTAAACTCAAATTATAATTAACTTTTTTAAATTGACCACATACGTTTTTTTTTCTTTTAAGGAGCAGGCATTGTATTGGGATAAATTTAAAGGAGTGATGTCCCCACCCTCACTTGTTGATGTAAATGAGGATGGTTTGGAGGATATTGTGGTTGCAACATTTAATTCTTCAGTTCTAGCATTTGATGGTCATTCATATAAAATGTTATGGAACTTCTCCTTTATTGGATCTGAATCATCAAGGTAAGGGAAAATAAATATTTTAGTTTCAATTTCTTTTTGCTCGTTTTTAATAGAATATTCTTCTTCTTAGCACTCCAGTTCCTGGATATTTCAATGAAGATAACATTCCAGATTTCTTAGTAAAGTACCAGACAGGGCCAGGATCTCCTACTTATTTCTATTCACAGGTATTGATTCTATGAATATAATTAAATTTCACTTCATCTACATGTCATTTCATTTCTCATCTCATTGTTGTCCTAATAGACAACGGTCCTGGATGGAAAAACGGGCCATTCTCTTCTGGATGATATAATCACAGACACTGCTGGCACACAGCTGGGTGGCCTCACTATTAGTGTGGAAGGATTAGGCAATGACATATTTTTACATTGGGAAGGCAATTGTTTGGAGCATGAGGCAAGTCATGAACCATTCTCTTTCATGCCAGGTTTGTAATAACATTTATTATGAAAAACTGAAATGTTATTTGTTGTGATGAGAAATTATTAATTTGATACAAAATAATACTTTGTTGTCTAGGAGAATTAATAGACAAGGAAAACAGTGTTGATTTATGTAAATTACGATTCAACTCTTCTCTTGTTACTAAGTTTTTGGCTTTGAGTGAGCACTTGGAACCTCCTGGAGTTCCAATTTATTCTTCAGGTAATTTGATTGATTTGACTCGCACTAATTATTTCATTATATTAGTATTAGTATTATCATAGTATTAGAATATAAACATATATCTGAGTATTTTTATATTGTAGAACAGAGAAAGGTCATTGAATATAAGAACTCTGTGAATACTACAGAAGAATTGCAAAAATATGTAAGTCAACATCCAGATTTCAGTCAAGAGTGGGCAACATATGTAGCAGAGAAATCTGTTCCTAAACAACCACCGGTTGACTTTGCTGGAGAAAACGGTGTTGAACTGTCCAGAAATAGCGGTTCTAATTTTCGACACAAAGAAGGTTCAATATTACCTGATCAGAGGAAAGGATCAGACTACTACTATTCAAATCGAGATTTTAATGTACCAAATCGTGGTAGAAACAGAGAACCAGGAGGCAGGTCGTTCTCAGATGGTGAGGGTGAAGAAATGCTTCCATCATACCCCAGCAACAGTGAATATCCTGATGTGCGTAAGCATGGAATGGAATATGGTAAACACATACCAAATGTTGGCCAGTGGAGACACTGGCACAATTCTGAAATGCCACCTGATGATCCTGTTGCTGGTGCTGTAAATAATTATCAGGTTCAATTATAAGCTACACATTGTTTGTAGAATATGTCTTAATATTCCTCCTGTTGTAACTCTTTTTCTCATTGTTATAGGATGTACCTCGTGAAAGAATATTTGAGGAAGCTCTTCCAGATCCAGATCCAGATCCAGATTTTGACATACCTGGCATGTACTATCCGCCTACGGATGATGGTTATCCTCCAGGGCAGCGTGATGAACGCACTGCAGCTTCTGGATTGCACGAAATGCCTCATGGGCCACGACTCAGAGGAGATAGACGTGGGCAAGAGCGGAAGAAAAGGAATTCTTTAGAAAGCCAAAATCAAGGAGTCCAAAAACTGACGTCTGCAGGTGAAGTTTTTCTTTATTTCATATGATTAATTGTGTTCATAGAGTACTTATATGTAAATGACCAATTCTTTTTACAATGAAAATGACAAAAAAATTTAAGGATAAAGTGCAACATAAATTGACAAATTTTATTAATTCAAACAAAAATACACTATCTATCTTTCATCCCATTTAATTATTTAATTAAACTAGTATTTTTGCAGAGTGAATATTTTTTGTCAATATCTCAATTTCTAACATTATATTGAAATTTTGAAGCAAGAAATATCCATTGAATAGGATTTTATCGTAAGTGTTACAGCTAGAGAATCACTATTCAATTGTGATTTCTTACTTGATTAACTAGATTACGATATTAACTCTAGATTAACTCATTATTGTGAAATATCAGAAAGGAGTACTGGTAGGAGGATACTTTTTGATAAAGGACAGAAGCTATGAAAAGAGGACTGTCCTCCCCAAAGGATGGTCACCTTATTACTAGAAACTAGAACCTTTGTCAGCAGAAGATAATAAGGCACTGTAGAGAGCTGATGCATTTTTTCCTAGTGAGGTTGATTAGCCTGGTGGATTAGAACATTTTCTTATATTTGTTCTTAGCCTTCCAAATCTTTCTCTATGGTGGCTGCTTTGCAACCCCAATCCCTTTGTTTGGAAAGAGTAACATTGCTAGAGACAGCATCCTTGTCCATCAAGCTGGATATTCTGTAGATGTTCGACAAATGAAACCAACAAAAGCATCTTTGGCCTAAGTGGTGTAATGGTTAGCATACCAGACTGTTATACCCATGTTCGCAGGTTCAAACCCGATCAAAATCTTGGATTTTTAAGTGCAAAAAAACCCTTTGTATGCTGGCTGTCCCATGTTAGTAGATTTACTTGCGTGTAAAAGATCCTCAAACCTAAAGGATGCCTCTGAGCTAAATTCAAATCATCTGTTTCTTGCCCAAGAAATACCTCCTTTCTCTGCTAGTTTGCGAAAGGCGCGTAGCGAAATTTGCATGGTCAGATGGAAGAGCGGGCCTGATGGACTGAGTCTCGACACATAAAATAAGGCATCAGTTCAACTCGATTCAATTCAATGCAGTTCGGTTCAGTTCAATTCAATTCAATACTACATTATGTGGGGATTAGTAATATGAAAAAAAACAAAACAAACCAGAAGTAATCTGGCTGTAATTATGTAGTAAATACTTCTTCTACTTCATATATTCATACATTTAGGCATGACTAGAACTTTATTTCTAACCCATATTTCGCGTACCCAAGATATGGATCTTAAAATTTCTTCCAAGAACAAACATTACCAATGATCCAAATCCAATACGACAATGTTCATAGAAATACAATCATGTATATGTATAAAAAACAGGAAGAAGTGTAAATATATTCTCGAAAATGTTTGGATTTACTAAAAAACTTTGTTTAATCTTTGGCAGACAAAATTTACAGAAATGGATTAGTACTTTCTTGTCCCAACTCTTGCTTCAGGCAACATGTGTTGCCCTAGAAACAGTTTCGAGTACAGATCTTGAGACCATCACAGTGTGACATCGTATGTAAGCAATGTTAGGCTTTCGCTTTGCAAGCTTTCTGAATCCTTTGGAGGGTCTTTCACTATCGGTAGAACTGGTGAGAAATTGGTTGTCTGCCTTCCAACACTAGAGTTCTTAGTTTTAGAATGCAGGTGAGGTGAGAAGCACAACAATATACTTAAGGGAAAAACATAAGTGTGTTTCAAATGAGGTTTTAAATTTGAAACGCGCTTCATGTATTTTTTCCTTTTATTCATTCAAAGGATATTAGTGAATACTGTAGAGTGAATTCTGGACACTTTGATATTTTCTAATCTGCTAATAATGAGAGAGTGCGCCTAGAGGTGTGACTAGTGACCACAGCCTCACTAGTGGGCTGAGGGGTGAAACCTGGAAAATTGGTGGCAAATTCAAATTTCAGTACATTTGCAATATCTTTTGTAGTTTTGTGGTGAATAAAGCTGTTTTAAAAAAAATATATTTACTATTACTTAAACAATTGAAATTTTAACTAGTTATTGAAAATATGTTCAATTTTTTTCTGTAGAACTTAAGGACGTAATTAAAACACACAAAGTTCTCAAAAACCTTTATTTATGCATTACTATTTTTGCTTCTGCATTGTTGCTGCAACATTTCTATTCCCTTTTCTTATTTCCTCAATTCAAAAAATTGTACCAAAACACTGATGCTTTTATCAACACATAAAGTGGGACATACTTCACAGACACCATTCACTGACTGAAGATTTATAATTATCTTCAATCTTGTGTTTACATTACTTTGACTTTGATTCAATCATTCACACATACAATTTTCTTCTGACCCATCCACATTCAAATGAGTGAGCACAGTAATTCTTTGAAATTGATTCAGTATTTCTTTCAGTATATTTATTTAACACAGCTTTCATATTTAGTTGGAAATTATTTCTAAATCTGATTTCAATAAAAAAAACTGGCTTGCATGCACTATACAATTGCTGTCTTCTGAAGGCTGCAACAGCTGATTTATCATTTGTCTACCTTTTCAAAGCATTTCTATACTTAGATGCATCAGACATTATAACAATTTTTGCCTCTAATTATAGAAAACAAATTTTCAATACAGTCTTGAGTGAGGTATCTTATGAAAGAACTGAAATCAAACTCTCTCTGCAGTTCTTTCCACAGTAACTTAAAAGCAGCAGTATTTTTCATTCATCCTTTTACGTAACATGCGTGACCTGTTGCTTATTACTAATGACAAGATTCCTAATAAATTCTAACATTTCATCCAAAACTTTCAGGTGGTTTCTGTTCTCATTGAGTCCACAATGAAACTACTTTGCATGTGTAATTTTGTGGTGAATTGAAAATATCAAAAAGAACATCTTCCTTTTCAAGTAATATTGCAGTTGCAATTGCTTCAACCCTGCTCTGTGAGGGAATTGAATGTAATGTGGGTCAATATAGCACAACTGACAGAACGAATGAACACGTGGGAAGCAAGAGGGCTCTCATTGGGCGTAATGGAGGTAAATCTAAATATTTCTGAGTTACTTAGATGCTAAACGTGGATTCATATTTTTGTCCTTTTTGTAAAAATCAACTACATGATCACTTTCCATTATCAGGAAAAACATCATACTTTTCAAAATTATTCCTTAATGCCTTAAACAAGTGTGGAGCAGCATGAAAAAGTAAATCTTGTTTCCATTTATTTCAACAAAAAGGGACACTTGCCAAATAATTATCTAATTTTAAGGTTGTTACTTCCTTGGTCACATACTACCTCTTCTGGGAAAAAAGCAAATTCCATCACTTTCATAATAACACAAGCAAGTACTAGGTATTGCATGTTTGGTGAGACGATATCCAATTACTTGTTTGTCATTTATCTTTAACCCTCTTATCAATACCACCATTGCTTCCTCATAATTCACAAAACCATCAAATTCATCTGCTCTGCTTAGTAATATTGACTTTTAGAGACATCTCATCAAGTACAATTGAAACCATACGACTTACTTTCTCAGACTTTGGTTTCATTACTATTAAAACAACTATTTATACCTGGAGAAATGAATGCATTTTTAAGCCATCTTCTTAATGACCTTACCGTAGGAAGTAAGAACAAGTGTTCTAAGCATTGTATATCCCTTAGGAAAACAATAATAAATTGCCAATGACTGTTATATCACTTTCAGTGTATTGCCTTACTCTATTCCTGCAAAAAAGTTTTGTTTTTGCCTTTTTAAAAAAAATTGCAGATTTACATTTGAAAACTAAGTGAATGTGCATCAGTTATAATCCCATGTTCTAATATTCTAATTTTTTTCAGCAATCAGTTCAATTTTTTCAGGAATCAAGTATTTTCTTTGATATATTTTTTCTAGCGCTGTGCAGTTTTTATTTAAGTAACTTCACTTTGTCAATACTGTCTTGCTTTAGGTCTCTTGTATCTCCAAGATGATCTTTGATGACTTCTGTCTCTTTACTGACATTATCCTCCCTTTTTTTTGTAAGGACTAACTCTTTTTGATGGTGTTCCTACATTTATGACACTGTGGGAAGGAAGAATTTGTGTTGGCAGAGAACCTTGTTTTAATCTGGAAAATAAAATTATAATTTAGATGTAAATAAAGATTGTGTACTTTCATTTTAATATAAAACACATACGGTATATTGTTTACTCCTAACTACACAACTGTGAATTTCTGAAGTCAAATGTTACAAAGTGGTCTTAGTCTTCCTTAAAAATACTGTTAAGACGCAAGGGACCTTTCTTCTTATAAAGAGCATATAAGTCACTCACCCATTTAAAAACCCATTGATCACACTTACAACATATCAGAAAGCAAGTAACTTAACACAATGGGTAAGCTTAAATTGTATATTTTTTAAACATAAATGTTCAATACTGCAAGATACAGAAGTTTTTTGATAATTTAATGTCTACATGTAATTGGGGAATTAAGTATTTACATAATAAAGTACAGCTTCTCATCATGAGGGATCGTAAAAATGATATTGCATTTTTATCATTATTGTCGTCATCATTATCACCATTGTCACCATTATCAGCATTGTCACCATTATCACCATTGTCATCATTATCACCATCGTCATAATCAACATCAACATATTAAGGTTTAAGTGCCATGGCCTATTGCTTGTTTTCAGTATTCCCCTACACTAAGGTGTTCCTGGTCCTCCCTTGGTCTCCCAGGGTCTCGATTTCCTCTTCGTCTGTAGTACTTACTATCTTTGTAAGTCTATTTGGTTGCATTATTTTTATACATTCTTCCTTTTGCTTCATATTTCTCTATTTCAGTGAACATGTTCTTTGTTTTCAGCATTTTCCTAATTTCTTTGTTACTTATTTTGTCTTTTTGAGTTTCTTGAAGTATTTCTCTCAGAACCTCATTTGGGCTGCCTCTATTCCCTGTTTGTCTCTCTGTTTGAATGTCCATGCTTCTCTGCCACATAGTAGGGTAGGTTTTGCCACTGTGTTGTGGTTTCTTATTTTTCTTTGTTTATTCATGTCTGCAGTCATTTATTTATGCCTACAGTCATTGATCTTATTAAATTTTGCCAGTTTTGTTTCAATATCTTCCTCTCTTAGTGATATCTTATTGCCTAGGTGTGTGAAAGTTGCTACTTGATCAATTACCTGATTACCTATTACAAGTTATACACTTCGTACTCACTATGGTTATGACAGGTTGGGCTACTGGGGGTTCTGGCTTTGGATGTCTCCCAATATACCGCAATGTGTCATGTATTGTGTTTGTAGTATTTGGTAGAACTTTTTTTAGATAAAAAAATTTGGAGGGAAAGAGACTTTGTTTGGTATAGCAAAGTTTAACATTTAGTGTGGCATTCACAAAAGAAATGCTAACATACAAGATCCATTAAGTCCTATGTAATTTCCGTATTTCGATATTCTCTACTAATTGTATGAGGAATTAATGTTGGGCAAAATTTATATGATGTTACAGCAAGGACATTAAAACTTTCTATATTTATAACCTCTTGCTTTTACATCGTATTTCACAGGTGTGTTGGTACCATCCTTATCAAATTCCCAAAACAATAGTATTGATATAGTCTTTGCTACTTATTGGGTTCCTGCGACTGAGAACATTCATATTCTTTTACAACAACAACTGGAATGTGTTGAGAAGAAATTGCTAGAAAGGGCAGATATTCATGGTAAGTAAACACAAAGAATATAATCTCCCTTTTCTGATATTACCACACCTTGGAAAATATTTCTAAGTCTTTTGAAGTCTTTTTTTGGAATGTGAAATTTTATTCAATTCCATTTACCAGCTCATTATTGGTACTTGTATGCATTTTTCATAACATATCATTATAATATTGGAAGTAGTGTATATACCCTGATATATGCAATCAGATGATTACAAAATGTTGTAAATTGAAGCCAGCTAAGGGCACGGCATCATCCAAATGACTGAGATAATATGAATTCCACATAGGATGTATCTGTTTGTATCTTCAGTTGTGCCTAAAAATTAAAAAGCAAATCATTTCATTTTCAGAAAAAGATCCTGGCACAGATCACTTAACAATTGCTCTTGCTAGAGAATGTTTAAATTTACAACCCGTAGAAGATTTGCCTAAAGAGGAAGATTTGAAAATGAAAGAATTAAACATCAAGATGGGTCAGATGACAGTGTATCGACTGCGATTGTCATGTCGGTGCCGAAGTCTCAGTTCCGATGAAAAATGTTCTTCAATATTACCCTTCGCCCAGCAGAGTTGGCCCACTGCATTTGGTGTAAAAGGCAATGGATATTTTAAGCCAAGACATAAGTAAATTTTGAATTTATTTTAATAATAATCAATTTAATATGAAACTGAAAGTACCTATATTCTAATGTCCAGCAAATAATGTAATCAATTTGGAAAGGAGTATCATGCACTTTTATGCTTGTATTCTTCTTCCATGTGTTATGGTGGCAAACAGCAGTGTGCGTATTTTTTTGTACATATTGAACATTTACTGACAATGGATTTAAATAACTGTTTTAGCTTAAGTGCAAAAACTATGTTTCTCTGATATTGTTGTTACAAAACCTGCTAGATTTTGTATAGTTATATATATATATTTGAAACATACTGATAAAAAATTGATGTCACCTTCAGGAATCCGACATTTCTGAATGAAATAATTGTAAAATGCTGCTGTGAAATATAACGTGTATGTCTGAAAAATTAACATCATAATGCAAGCTTTAATGTTTTTGAGGCTTTACTAGCCAAAAAAATTATGCTTGAGAAATTTTCCATAGCTTTTAAAGACTGATTCTAAATAGAATATTTTAGGAAGTTTTAATTTTAGTACATTTGTTAACAAACTGTAACTACGTCAATATTAATAAGACATAAACAAAAGTTACTAGCATTTTTCATGATATTTCCAAGTTGTACAATCACCACAAGAAAGAGAGTTGAGGTTCAAAGTATATTCCACTTGTAAGATACTAATTTATATTTGATACTCTGTTATCACAATACCTGTTAATTGAAAACCATAACTCTTGTTTTTAAATAATTCAGTGTTCAACATATCATTGGAAATGTTAAAGCTTGTATTTTAGATGACCCACTAATGGAAGAATGGTAAAACACCAATATTAAAATGATGGAAAGTATTTAATGTGGAGAGAGTTCTTAATAAGTTATCTCTTGATTATATTTTCAGAGATAACTTCTAAAATTATGTTTCTGGTTGCGATTTTTTAATACTTGATAAATAGAAAGTGCAAAACAAATTTTTCACCATTTTAGTAATTTTTGTTTTGGAATTGATAAATTAAAAAAAAAAGTTTTAACAGTATATTTACAATGTTTTTATATTAATGAAGAAAATGTTATGAGAAAGGTGAGACAAGAAATTAACATTCATAAAATTTGAGACTGGAGATGATGTTAAGGGACAATCCTTTAATAAGATTAAAACAAAATTTAAGTATTTATTGATGTTCCTTCAAAGCTATGTGTAGAAATGATCTATGGTTCAAATAACAATTTGTTATAAAGGAATGTTGTTTCCAATGACATGTAAATGATATAGAGAAATGTTCTTCTTTGTCCCATGTTAGACAATAAACAAATACAAGAAAATGGCATAAGCTTCTCTAAGTCTTCTAGGGTCTAGGAACAGTTTGTGCCCCTTATTGTACCCCATTAGTGTTGGGTATACTGTTGTTGGTTACTGTTAGTTATGCTTAATGTAAAGTTCTTTTAAATTATCTATTTGAACTCTTATTTTGTAAGAATATTATCAAATCCAAACTGAACCTCAATCTTGGTTATTGTGGAAAAGAACATTCCGAACATTTGCAATGATATGTCAATGCTGCTGAAATGCTAGAATTGGGACCAGACTGTCTGTGATGATCCTCTACAGTGGACCATGTTCTTCTCACTATTCACTTGACTAAAGCAGATTGCATCAGAGTGCTGATTCTTCCATCTGTCATTGGCTGACTCAAAAAGCAGGGAGTGCTCTCTCTGGTGTCCTGAAGAAGCATTGGCCCAGGATTCCAGTTTCAGCAGCAATGATGGAGGTAATCGTCTTGCGGATTGGTCTTTGAGATAAGAGCACATTTCTATTTCAGCCCTGAAACCTAAATACTTGAAGGTTTCCTTTAAATATAATTTTCATAGACTCGCAACTTGTATTGATGTTAACAGTATAGAAATTATTATTCATTGCACCTTGATGATTTGATCATTTATCCTAACTTTTGTGTACTAAATTGTGGAATCATCAATTTCAATGTTAGGAAGTGACAGAAAAGTTGTGTTCAATAAAGATGAATACTCGTGAATACAAATTACTCTAGATATCTCAATTATTGTTCATAAATAAGACTTGAGTTATGTGACACACTCTGTGATGATCCATGTTTAAATGTTGTAACCAATAGTTTGACTTTCTGTATTTGGTCTTCCTCAGCATTCCATTTCCCTCTTCATGTGTGTTTAAATGTTTGTTAGAAAATTATAAATGGAACCACGGATTATGTCCAAATATTCACTATGTACCTTGATAAAAGTAGTACTTTTTAAATACAAATTTAATTCATGCCGTAAAGTTGCATTATGTAGTTAAAAATGGCTAATTATTTATGTCACTTAACTTATGTGTTTGGACAAGCAAAATTAAAAACTTTGGATTTCACCTCCAGGAAATTTATTTGCCTAATCCTTGTTTAAAACCAGCTAAAAAGTGTTGAGGAAGCTGTAAAAGTGGCAGTGGTATTTACTTCAGGGGCAACACTGAATATAAGAGTGAGGTGTGTTTATGTTTTGAAAGTAAAACTTGACTAGTGTCCTATTTGTGAAAATTGGGATGTGTTCGGAATCCATATCAAGTGTATAGAATTAATTGTTCTGAACTTCAAAATCATTATACTTATTATATTTCAATTTCATGTGTTGAGAAAAGTGTGCAGAATTCTTTCCTAGCTACTTTATGTATTTCTGTTTTTCTGTTAAATATATTTATGTGAGTTAAATGTAATGGAGTTTGAATTGGATATTTGGGCTTATTGGTGTTCAGAATGTGTTGGTACCTACTATAACATTTGAAATGCCTTGCAGTGTAGGTAAGAGTGACATCAGTTCGAGTGTGGAGTATTTTCAAAACATTTGCAGAAAGTTAAGTTTTTTATGAAGAAATTTGAATCAATGTTTCAGGGAATTCTTGAAGCGGCATATAAAGAATACAGAACACAATTATTTATAACAACTTTATTTTGTTTTTGTTACAATATCAATTAATTTAGTCTTCATCACATCCATCCACAACAAAACACATTGATTTCGTGTACCACTCATAAGTCTCTTTGTAGGAAGCCACCACAGTTCTCTTGCTCATCAGCAACGGAAATTCGGGGCACAGACAAGTAATTTATGTCGAGGCTCTAATGAAAAATTTCGGATGGCTTTGTTTTCCTCCCCAGTGCAAAAAGTATAATACAACAGCTCGCCCATCCCTTGTGACGCCGTGTCTCGGCAATGGAAAATAGAAAAAGTACTAGAGAGCACTATTCAAAGGTCCTGCATAAATATGCGTTTGTGGAGTGCGAGTTTGAATATTTGAACAGAGAGACTAGATTAACAGTTTACTACTCATGCAGGTAATTTTGTGTGAATGCAGCCGCTGGCACTGGGGCGGCCGACGCCTCACGCGCGGCGAGGCCGGGTGGGGGGTGGGGGTTGAGGAGGGGGAAGGGGAGAGGGAGGAGGGCTTACTTCTTGACCGAGAAGCCGTCGCCCGTGGGGTCGAGGATCCAGGGGTAGTTGTTGGGGCACTCCATGCAGGTGAAGAGGCGCAGGGTCTCTCCAGGCAGCTCGCGAGTGGTGAGCGGGCAGGCGTTGGGCAGCGAGCAGTAGGGTTGCCCCTTCACGTCGCACTTCTCCTTCCACTCTTGGAAGTCGCGCAGCGCCGTCAACTCCGTCGGGTTCTGCATCCACTGGATCACCTGTGCACACGGAGGCTATGGCTCAGAAGATTTGTTCTCGGAAGTGTCAATCTGACGGGTGGTTGGTTCCAATTTTTTTGCGCGGGAAATGCGAGGAACAATTCGGTTGCAGAAAGTGATTTGTAGAATTCCGCGCGTGTACTATGGGTATCCGCAAGAGCCGAAGAGGCAAAAGGTACTACTGCTAACAGCAGCGTACAAACACTTCATGTGTATCTTGTGATTGAGAGGAATTGAAGACACTTCCATCACAGTTTCATATAATACGAATGTAATTTAGAAATCTGATGATGCTGTCAATGGTCGAGCTATTTTATTCGATGTACATACTAAATGCAAGAAACAAGGTCGCTGATTAAACTCGTGTGAAAACTCCCTAGGTACCCCTCGAGTATTTTACTGAGACCTTCTATTAAATAAAATGTATAAAATTATGAATTTAGTGTTTGGACATATTCCATATTAGTTATACAGGTACGAAATTCACTTTTGTCTACATCACCAAGGAAATGAACTTAAGATTTTTTAATAAATGCTTATTGAATAACGTACATATAGAGTGATGTTAATGCAAGTATCGATATGAAAGTATTGTGTGTACGCACCTGCAACATGGTGACGAAGTAGACGTCGTTGCGGTCCAGCATCTCCTCGATGAAGCGGATGAGCTCGTCCTTGTACTCCTTCTTGCTCTTGAGCCAGGACGCGTGGAAGTGCAGGCCGAGCGGTGCGCGGTTGGAGTTGAAGTGGCGGTTGAAGTTGTGGCGCAGCAGGCGCGCAAACTGGTCGCCGCTCTGGATGTTGGAGCACGAGTCCACCATGTGGCAGCCGGGTAGCGACTCGTCGAAGGTGGGGTCGTCCCTGCGGTCCAGCTCGTTCATCACCATCTCCCACACGGGGTGGCTACGGCTGGGGCAGTTGTGGGCGTTGCCGTTGCACTTGTGCGGCATGCGGAAGTAGAGCGTGTACGGCCAGATGGGCACGCGGCCCAGCGGCGCCGTGATGGACGCGTCGTACACGAAGAACTGGTCGGCCATCATCTCGAACTGCTTGTTGCCGCCCACGCGCAGGTAGGGCGCGCGCATGCCGATGATGGAGCCGTCGGTGATGTTGGCGAAGCGCTCGATGATGAGGCGCGCGCCCGCCATCTCGGCCAGCCAGTCGTCGTACGAGCCCTGCGTCCAGTAGTTGGGGTCGTCCTTGTGCGTGAGGGAGAAGACGCCGATCTCGTGGCCGCGGCGGTGCAGGTCCTGCACGGCCGAGTAGTTGGTGTACTTGTGCGAGACAAAGAAGGTGCCTCGGATCTGGCAGCCGTTGGGGTTCTGGCGCTGGCCGTTGAAGATCTCCTCGTACAGGTCGATGTTGTCCACGTTAGCGGCGCCGTTGAAGGTGATGGTGATCATTTGAGGAACCTGGCGGCAGAAATGGAAAGTTGAACTATTACTTCTGATTGCATGGTAATTTAGTTGCCTTTTCGGAATGTAGAGCTTTTCACCAAGGCGTTCAGTGGGATAAATGTCCCAACTTACAGGAGACATAACTTCATCCGATACTTGAGTAATATCTTTTGTTTCCTAATATTCATTAATCAGTAAAAATGTATTTTTCATATTCTATAATGAACATGTTTTAATTTACTGAAGAAGTTCACCTAAGAAAAGACGTCCGAGCTACGAAATTTAACGACTGCTGTATTGTAAAATTTCCGACTATCCAGACTTAAGCTTGCAATTTTGGCCATTTCATCGTTTCTTACAATTATTCCTAAAAATGCGTTGTATTAAAGAATTAGGCATATTTTACACTTCCAGGATCTTTAATGATAGCTGGATCTAATTAATTATTTCACTTTCTTTTTCCCTACTACATTTTTGGGATGCGATGTACGAATACGTGAAGCCCTCCTTCAAAAACCGAGGGGTGCAACTTTCTCCGTCGCTCGCGTCTTCCGCCCGCGCCGACGCCGAAAGCGGCGCTTTCCCTGGATTACGTGTTTCTCTTTTGGGCAGCGTTGTTCGTAGATGCACTGGATCGGGCTGCTTAGGAAGTCAAATGGAGAGAAAGTCTCGGTTAATGTCCACGCGATGTTGTATTGCGCTTTGGTAAAAGCGCCTTTAGGACAACCTGATGCTGTAAGTAATGATATATGTGCGCATTCTGAAAAGACGGAAGATGTTCTTTTTTTGAATCCGCTCTTGAATGTTATGTTACACGAGTAAACGATTTTTAAAGTTTATTTATGATTTTACACGAATCCAGTTACATTTTTAACGATACGTATGAAAATGTAAAGAACATGAAGTTGTGAAATTCAAAATATATTTTAAGATTTTTCTTAAAGCTTACAAAATTCAAATTACTACGAAACTTTTCATTAATATAATTTAGTTTAATCATTGTAAATGCAAAGTATTTACATGTTCAATCCTTGTATATGCAGAAATGTATTTTAGTGCTTAATAAAAAGAATAATAAGTAGTTTTTGGTTTATGAATTTTGTAAGGTAATGTTTGTGTTAATGTTAAATTAAAGTGTCCAGGAATGGGAAAGAAATTAAAAGCAGTTCCGCGAAAGAAATAATCCAAGTAAAATACAAACATAGGAGGAAAGAGTGAAATAGCGCAAAAGAAAAGAAAAAAAACAATGCGCGAACGGTTGTCTCACCTGGTTGGGCTCGATGCTGCCGGGGATGCGGGTGCCGTCGGCGGAGCAGAAGCAGTCGGGCAGCACGCACTGCGTGGGGTCGCAGTCGGGCGCGCGGTTGGGGTCCAGGTCCACGGCTGCAACCGACGGACAATCAAGGCCACGTTCGCAAATCGCCACTGTGTTTACCATGATCAAAAGCGGGGAAAATTGCGATCTTTTGGATTCATACATCCTGGTGTTTTTCTCTCCACTGCTCTTTTAATTCTGTTTTGATTTTAAAAAATTGTAAAACTAAGATTCATCTCTCTCCAAATAGGGAGAAGTTTTGTTGTTTAAACAATTTGATTTAGGAGATATTTCGTAATGTGTGTTTTAAAATGTAATAGCTATTTTTTTCCTTTACGTGTTAATCCTTTTTGTAAACAATTGTAAAGACGATACAAAAAGTAACAAAGAGTCAGTGACGTTAAGAAGGGGGAAGAGAGAGCGGCTGAGGCAAGTTCCCCAAGCTCCGTCTTAATTAGGGCCCTGGATTTTTTCATTCAAAATATTTAAAAAATGCATTTTTTCTAGTTCAAATGAAGTTACTTGTATTGCATGGGGAGAGAAATTGTGTTTATTTCTTGGAGGGGGGGGGGTTGTTTGAAATTTCAGACGCTCGTGGATATAATGCCTCAGTTTTCTCGTAAAATAGTAAGGAAGAGAGTACGTACTGCAGGCATTCTCGTCAGACTCGTCTTTGCAGTCGGGCTTGTCGTTGCAGAAGAGCTCCTTGTCGATGCACTCGCCGTTGCCGCAGGACAGCTTGCCCTCGGGGCAGCGCGGCTCGTCTGTCTTGAGGATTGGCAGCACCTTGCGCGGCTCTGTAACGAGAGGGCGGTGAGCGCGTGCCTGCCTGGGAAGCCTACAGCCCATTTACCCCCTGCCCACGGGAGGCCCCTCCTTCGAACCGAACCCACCGCAGGAACCCGATTCGACGCAAAGTGAATCCCATCGGACACGGCCTGACTGATCCCGGCCCCAAGTCGAACTGCGTCCTCGAAGGCTCTGAATCGAGAAAGGAAAACAGGGCCACGAAGACAGCGCAGGCACAGAAGAAACAGTGACACATAGTGTTAGCGCCAGGGCACGACAGAACGACTTCGGTTATGCAGAGAGAAAAAGAGAAAGACAAAGAATGAAACATAACAAATGCTTTATTTCTGAAAGACTTTACTTTTGAGACAGAAATTGAAGTAGAATATGATCGTGAAAATCAAGAAAATAAAATGCTTAGAAAGACAAAAGATATGGCGCAAAGACATACAATAAATTGAAGTATCATTACTTTAAATGTTACATTAGTATTGAAATATATTATTTCGAAATTGACATGATATCAGGCACATTACTCAAGCTGAAGGCTAAGGATTTTGCGATAATATTAAAACACATTGATTAAATTTTTAATCACCACCACCAATCCACGGATGCAAACGTCATGCTAAAGACATGAACATGCAACTACCAATAGAGTCGGGCAGTTTCCTAAACTGTAATTCATTGTTCTGTAAAAATATTTATGATCAAATAAACTAAAAAAACCTATAGAGTCACTTTTATTTGGGCTTATTTTAGTTCTAATAATTTCTAACTAATAAGGCAATAAATATTTGATATATGATTGCGTATAAAATCGTTTGATAAGCAGAAAACTTTATACTCCAAAACCATTCTGAGGATAAGGAAGTGCTATGTATTTTATGTAGCAACTTTTTTTACTTCATGTCTGTACTTAAGTATGTGTTAAATTCAATAATAATTTACTAACATTGCTTGTTTAGATACATTTTTCTTCATATTTTACTTAGGAGGAAAATATAGAGAGAAATTTTAATTTTTGTCAGTAATCGAGAGTGAGATTGAAAAGCGTCATGAATAGGATGAAGGCATGCAGCTCACGACACAGGTTTCCCAATAACCACTGTTACACAAGCTACTCCAGGGTGGGACAAGGGCGAGGAACAATACCTTTCCGGAGTGGTCACAATCCAACATGCGCACGACCCTTTCCTACACCAAAGCTCGACAGTGGGAGGAACTACAGAGAGGGAGGAACCGTAGGGGCCCGGGTCACCACCTTCCGAGAGGTGAGGGAGGTCGGGCAACGGGTGAGAACCGATGGGCGCCGACACCCGTACGGATTGGCAGGTGCTTTCGACCCGAAAAGTCACTTACTCTCCAGCTGGTCACAGTTGTTCACTTTACCCTTCCAATCACAAGTTTGCTTATCAACGTCGAAAGCCAATCCGGAGGGGCAACTGATTTGCTTTATACCAGATTTTGTGCACCTGATGGACAAACATATAAAACATCGCTCAGTATTTGCATTGGCAGCGCTAGCAAAATGTCAGCAGTTGCTCCCACTGGCGTGGATCAGGGGCGATTCCTCCGCCGTCGCGGGAGCAAAAGATCGCGATTCGCGGCCGCTCTCCCCTCCTCTACTCATCATTCGCTGTTTCTCGCCAAATTTCACCCCGCTCTAAATTTTAATGTCGGCCGTTTTATTTTGTGAAAAATGGAACAATATTTTCATTGGATTTAATACGTTTCTTTGAAGGAATGAAACAACAAAAATACGTTTAGTTTCCTATAACTTTTTTAAAGTTAATAACAACATTTCAACTTTGTTTTCTCGGTTTCAACCTCAACCGCGACAAACACTGCGACTCAAGCTGAAAATAGTGTAGGTAACGACTTGTTTTTGTCTTCCCAATTTTCCACCCGATGTGTTCACAAATTGTTCAGATTTCTTCCGAAGATATTTTCGGCGTTAAAGAGGACACTTTTTGCGTCACCTCTTGCGAAACGGCCGCTCGCAGCAAAACGTAAATATTTTTCCGAGCGCGAAGCGGGGGCGAAAAGAGAAATCCGACGAGCCGAGCTGACATTCCGCTAGTGGTTTTATGTCTTGACGACACATACTTACTTTCTACTCTATCACAGTTTTTAACATTGGTTCTCCAATCACACGTCTGTCGATCTATATCAAAAGCTAAGCCGTTGGGGCACCTCACCGACGCCAGCCGGGTGATGCCGTTCTCTCCGGCCTGGTCGCACCTGGGCAGAACACAACGCGTCAGCCCCGAGCACTCGAGGGGCTGCCAAGCGAGCTACTCATTTGGCATGGTTACAGTAAGCGACTCAAAAGGAAAAATCAGATTCTCTTACTCATTTTTTCAAAGCTTCTGATGCTAGTAAGTTATTTTTTATTGTAAGAGGTCCGAATGGTTTTTGTTTCAAGGTTTGACTTTTACTCCAAGAAATAAGTTTTTTATTCCGGCTCATCTCTTAAATATTTATTAATATTATCCGGAATATATTTATTAGAATGTAAAATTTTGTAAAGAAAAAATCATCCAAAGAACTGTATAAGATTTTAATAAAAAATCACACCCCTTTATCTTGTGCAACTAACAGCAATGTTTCGTCCATTATTAATATTTTTTATCAATATTTTATTCTCAAACAAGTTGTCACGTTTAATGAAGGTATTCCTTTTCGCTCTGCGCGTGTTTCGGCTCCTTTCGGACTCGAGGGAGACTCGGGCCAGGCCGAAGTCAGGAGTGGAAGTAGGATTGGCCTATTCCTTGATCATCATAACTTGTGTAAACTGAAATAACGTGTGGAAAGATTAGAGATGTATTCATTAAGACAAACAATTCCGATACTCAGACACACTGTGGGATAAATTTTTGTTATGTGACTTAAATAAAAACATATTTGTACTATTCGGACAAAGTTATGCCTGATGTTTCCTTTCATTCTTCAACGAGAAATAGGAGACAGCATAAAGAGGTTCTCGAGATGGAAATTGGAGCGTAACAGCTAACATTTAAATTAACTGACAATCTTATAATTCACAACAGTTAAGGAAGCTAATATTGTAAAGAATATTCAAATTATTGGAGATGGTTGCCTAGGCCGGAGTTTATGTTGTCTAGGTTATCCGGGATGAGCCGCGTCAATGTCATGGTGGCTAACGTTTCGGCCAGCGTTTTGTGGCCTTCTTCAGCAGTACGCTCTGAAGAAGGTCATAAAACGCTGGCCGAAACGTTAGCCACCATGACATTGACGCGGCTCGTCCCGGATAGCCTAGACAACATAAATTATTGGAGAGTTTCAAAAATATTTGATTTATGAAATTTATTTATTTAATGTATTTCTGAGTGATTCTAATGGTGAGTTAGAAGGTAGAGTACACAATTTTAGAATAATTTTTTAAAATAAATTTTAAAATTTTAAGTTCACTAATAATACCAATTTTTTCACTATTTATTCTGTTGATAATATTTCCAAATATGGAACATGGGTCACGGGTCGGAATCAAACTTATCGAATTCAAACTTATTTTATCAACCGGAAGGAAATATTTATGTTTTCTGCGGGCGACATCCTTACCCATTTACTCCCCAAGTATTCATTATCACTTTCAACCATTCATCATTCTTTCATAACTTCATTCATCATTTCATTTCTTTTATAGCCCACAAAAACATTTTCTCAATTCAACAAGCGTATTCAGCACCTTCTTACATCACACACCCAGTTTGACGATTCATACAACATGAGACAATAGTGACAATGACGGCCGGTGTGCTCGATTCATCCAGTTTGGTAAGCTGAAAGGAGATGTTTTCAGTTTAGTAGAAAAACACGTTTTTCGTGAACGTTATAGTTACGTATGTGTCGCTAGGTGATAATTAATAATACTGTTTTACTTATGTTTAAAATGGAGTCTAAATCTACTTGTTAGTTTTATGATGAGATTATTCAAAAAGTAGATAAAAGGTCGACATATTTGATTAATGTTCTTTGTATTCCCTACTTTTACACCTAGTGTTTACATTGAATACACTACTTTGCAAAGCTCCTAAGTTAATGAAATCAATTGGAGTATATGGCTGACTGTTTGGTGCGGAAAACATAAAAAAGTGAAATGTTTGAGGTTTGAAGGTCACCTGACGACGTCGCGGCAGTCGCCGTCCGTGCTGAGGCGGAAGTACTCGTCGGGCGGGCGGTTCTCACACAGCTCGTCCACCGACTGGTCGTCCGATTCCAGGTCGTCGTCCTGGCGCTTCACGCGCACTGCGGCCGCTGCAACAACCACACACTACGTCAGCACCAACAATCGACAACCAACTCGCTCCCTACCTGAGCACACTGCACATACATGGGATGGTACATCGATAACACTAGTGGTACTATGACAGCACGTACTTTCTCGCCTGTATTTTCACGCCAAATTACGGGAAAAGTGCTCAAATTTTCGAAAAATTATACATGACCTTATTTCACAATGTATCTTTAAGGAATAGATTTATTCAAGGCAAAAATCTATATCTTGTTTTGAAAACGAAGACATCGATGTCACATCTCTAACACTTGTTTGGTTATTTATTCGAAAAGTTTGCTAATCGCTGTATTCCCGCGCCATGCAAATTAACTTAGTAATTCTTTTGAGCAATTGTGTTTACTCATTTAATGACTTATTAGGCTACGAAAACGCACCAATAAGTGGGTTAAAGATGTGCTATTAACTCCAAAGCAAGTCACAGAAAGACAAAAAGTGCCGTGTATAGACAAAATCTGTAACTGTACAATTCAATACTGTTTTTGAAAAATTAAAAACAATTCTCACAAACACAAGATGTTTGTGACATTTCTTGTTTTTCAATGTAAGGTTATGTCCTTGATGTAATTTGGTACATTACATTACGCAAAATTATTTAATTAATTACATTTTCAGGGATATGAGAAACCTCTGTTCTAAATGACCGTAACAGTTTAGATCAGGGTAGCCTTATTTTAGAATTGTAATATTTAATTAAAATTCCTCAAAATTGAAACGGTTACCAAGGGCTGGATATGTACTAAAAATGAAATGTACGTGAAGGATTAACGAGTAGCATTTTTAGAAAATTTAACTTCGTCAGATTTAAATTATGGAAATTTTTGGAATTCGTCCATTCCATTATTAGTAAATACAGAGCTGTAACAATGATTGAGCTTCTAAATAAGGTGCACAGTTTTAGAGCCTAAGAAATATGATTTAAAATATCAATTAAGATTTCGCTAAATATATGTACGGATGAAGCAAATTATGCCTAAATTTTATTTTGAGGTCTCAGTTTCGGATTGCGTTTCTAAAGCTTTCGTTCCTAAGCTGAAGGATTTATTGATTAGTGTTTCCGGGCGTTCCTATCCGCCCGTGGATCCGGCGCCGACCTATCCTGTCACGTCGGCTTGCGGGATATCCCCCCAACCAAGTATCCTCATCAGCAGGGCTCCACCCCAGCCGAGACAAACGCTATGCTCCTGGCTCTCAGACGCCATGCCAAAGGCAACGCTCAGTTGCTCTGACTGATGCTTCCGTCGTGGCTGTTAGGAGCCTGCGTTAAATGCAGTTCGCATTTGCTGCTGGGGGCGTATCTGGGCTGTGGAGCTGCGGTTGACCGCGATTCGGCACAGGCGGCACCCGTTGCGCGCCACTTCGCGCCGCGCGCAACCTCCTTCCCCGGCCCCTCCACGCCCCGCCCCGCCCCGCCCCACACGCCCCGCCCCTCCCCGCCCCGCCCCTCCCCTCCCCGCCACGCCCCGCCCGCCCTCACAGCCGCGGCCCGGCGCTCACGAGTCTCTCACCTATGTTGTACTTGGCTGTCCGGAAGACGCCGTCATTCTACTGTTTTACTGCATTTTGCTCTGAGGAAGGCGCAGAATGGCGGCCGAAACGTGGACCTGTGATTAGGTCGCGTTGTCTCCCGGACAGCCAATAAGTTTCTGACTTCCGGGCGCGGAAGCCTACGCTCTCATGAGTCTCCCCTATCCACGACGTTCAAACGATCTCCCGTGCTCTTCTATGTGCTATGTAGCTCTCCGTGCTATGATATACATTTCGCCGTTAGGATTTTGTCGCACCTGTTGCGTTTATTTTTTCAACTTGTCAACTGCCCTCTCAGAACGATAATCGTCGTGTTCTTTTCTAGTGAAGCGGCAGGAGCCATTCTGATTCTGCGGCCGTAAGTGCGTGTTCTGTTGCAATTCAATTGGTTGAATGTGAAACAGACCGTATATACGAATCATCGTGATCTTCATCGAAGGGCGTACACTCTTTTGAGAGGATTACTGAACACCAGAAACGTAGGACACGATAAACTAGATATAATTGATATTCATGGTAGCAATGAAGATTATTTTCTGTTAGACAAATTATGACATCTATCTAGAATGAATGTGGAAAAGAATAATGCAGAGTTTATATTTGTTTTGTCGAAAAACTGAATGTGAGATTCAAATGGCTTATGGAGCTATTATCGATCCGTAACACTATTTAACAATACGAGTGACAATATTGAGTTCAAGATTTTAGGGGTTTAAAACAGTGTATCTCATTATTATGACAATGCACAGCATCCTATAAATTGCACTGACTGGCCAGTTTTTGGTCTAGGCTAAATATTTATTGATTAGACACTAGTAATGGTATAATGACGACTAAAAACTCTTAAGAAAGATGTGGCTAGGGCAATTTCTGCTCAAATATCCCAGAAAGGTCTAAAAATGGCAATTAAATGACTTACTAACTGATATTTATCTTTATCTCTGTCACTAATAATTTACTTTCTGTTCTAACGATGACTAAGCCTGCAAACAATGGCGTGAGTCACGTCAAGAGAAGTATCTGCGTCGGAGGTGTTCTCGGGCTTCTCTCCGCTGGCGAGGAGAGAGAAGGCGTGGAGAGGCGAGGCGGGGCGAAAGGGCCTGGGAGCTGGCTGGAGGGTGGCGGGGTGGTGGTGGTGAGAAGAGGGTGGGGTGGGCGAGGCGGGACGAGGCGAAGGAAGGCGAGGCAAGGCTGGGTGGGGCGGGCGGGCGTGGAGGGGCGTGGCGTGGTGTGGAGTAGCGGGGCGGGGCGGGGCAGGACAGGCACGGCGAAGGGAGCCGGGGAGGGGGGGGGCGAAATCGAGGCGCGGGTGGAAAGCCTTCCTGTAGAAAAGCCGCCCGCCGAATGTGTGCCGCCCCCAGCGCCGCGCGACTTCCGCCTCCGGCGTCGAACCGGAAGCCGGCTCTGCGATGCCGAGGCAAACGTCACCTCCTGGGTAAGGGAGAGCGCAGAGGGAAGGAATAGACAGAGAGAGGAAGAGAAGAAACCATGCTAAAAATGACAAAGCAAGAGGTGAGGTCATGATAAAAAAAAACGAAGGACGGAATGAAAGGTGGAAATAATTAAATAACGCAGCTAAGAATAAAAAAGGTGCCACTGCACTGGCGAAGAAATGCGCGCGCAACGTGTAATCTTTTCAAGTATTTTTGCGTGAGTAGTGACCCGCAGCTAATGCTAAACCTGTGTGATGGCGGCGCTTACTCCAGGCGCCCGAGTGCAGCGGGTTGCCATCCTAAAAGGGGACGGCGAGACTCGTCGTCCTTCCATATCCATCTGTTGCTATTTATGACATTTGCGTCGTCAGATCAGGCCTTCAAGTCAGCACAAACGGTTTACAAGTATGCATGAATACGCATGCTGCGCCGGGAAATTAAGATTGCTCGTGGAATAAAGAATTGAATGTCTGCTGAGTGGCACGGTGCTTGCCCGTACGATTGACGCTTCGTGAAATATCCCTCGCGGTTCAATTTTTGCTTTCATTTTTGCTCTATCATTCTTTCAATTTAGTTCTTCACGTGCTAGAGGTTTTTATAAATTACTTACATATGATTTAATTTTATAGATAACAGTCTAAGACGGTGTTCAGTCAGAATCTACGGTTTATGGGAACCTTATACTAAAAAAATGCTAATTTTTTAGGAACATTTGTCTGAACAGGCCAAAGAACGCAGAAAATGGTGCAGGTTCCTTTTACGGTAAATTCTCTACATTTAAAAAAATGCACAAAATCAACACGCAACGCAAAGATATATTATATATATAATATTATATATATATATATATATATATATATATATTTATTTCTTCGCTGAAAATAGGGTGCCTTCAATTTTGTTGATCTCTGAATTTTTGAAAATAGCATAAAATTAAAAATAATGCGAGAAAGTATGAGCTGAGATATAGCACTAGATTATATTATTTGACGTAGGTGCATATTTCTTACTTTAATCCGGTGACTTTTGAGTTTTAGGTTATTCTTAAGACCAACCTTTTTGAGCCTCTCCACTAGTGTGATTTTTTGTAAAGCACGAACTTCGAGGGTGCGCGTGCCGGAGTTCCCGAGGGTACCCGCTTGAAGCGCGCGTGGCGCACGGTGATGCAATGCAAAGCGGCCGCACTTTTCTCCCGATGGCGGCGGCGGCGAGGGAGGCGGCGATGGAGCAATGACGGAGGGGGCGGCGAGGGGCAGCGGGTGGTGCGAGCGGGTGGGCGGGCCTTTCTCCCGAGCGCGGGCCAGACGGGCGGCGGCTCCTGACCTCGATCGACCCGCCCCCGCCCCTCCTCCGCCCCCCCACTGATTTCTCCGCCGCGGCGCGAATCCGACGCCGCGCCGGGCGCCCCACTCCGTCGTACGTGGAATACAGTTGGTTCAAGGCGAGCGAGCTGAGGCAGGCGCGGGCGACGAGGAGAAGCGATGCCGCGCCGCGCCGCGCGCGCTCCGAGGACGAGTAACGGCTCCAGGCTCCGGGAGCCGCCTGGCGGTTTCGTCACCCGCGGCCTCCGCTGACATTTCGTCCCGGGGAGGAGCGTGGAGCACGTGGCGCGGCACGCAGCGATCCGCCCTCACCTCCTCTCGCCCCGCTGCGCCTGCGCCTATGCTTGCGCCACTCGCCCCCGCCCCCGCCCCCGCCCCCGCGCCTGCCCTCGCAACTCCATCGCCAGCCCCGTCTACGCGTACACTCAGTAACGGAATGAGGATTCGCTTATTGCTTCGGGTCTCCAGTCCTCTGCTAAGGTCATTAGTCTAATAGGGCGTAGTGCATGTTGCATCTAAAGAGGTAGCGGTGTTCCACCCCATTGCAAAGCGAAATCCGGCGCCGAAGTGCTCGTCGATTTCCCTTCAAGTATCTCCCCCCAGCGGGACACCGACCGGGACAAGTTCTAAGCTTCCGACAAACTGTGTGGTGTGTGAGGGGGAAAAATAGACAGGGAAAAG